GAATATTTTCAAGTCCACCATTTTTTTTAATTAAAGGGGAATGAACCAAGTACTACCATGGCTCCTGAATGAAAGACTTCTACAACAGAAGTCTTTGAAATTATACCTGTGAAATCAGAATATAGCAAATGTACACAGCTTTGTCAAGAAATAACATTGACACAAACCAATCAATGGCATCAACAATCTTGTTACACTCTATGCGTGAGATAGTAGAGCAGCAGGGGCCAATCTTTTTGGGAGGAATGCCACAAGTTTGCTCTGCACCCTCCCCAAGTGTCACTCCAATCTCCTTCCCCTGCCTGATCTGCCGCTCTGCTTTCTGCTTCCTTCCCTGTGCTCCTTATCTGATCCGATGTTCTGCTTCCTGCTTCCTGCCCTATCTGTTACTATGCTGCCTGTTTCCCCCTCAATCTGCTGTGTGCCACACACAAGGGCTGCCAATACCACTTGTGGCACATGTGCCACAGGCTGGCCACCCCTGTACTAACACATCCAAAGTCAGTGCTTGGTTTAAAGGTTAAAAAAATATGAATCACTGCAGACATTCTACCAGCCTATCCACCAGCACCCAAAAGCTTTCATACCCTGTAAGAAGGGTATTCTCCCAAATTAAAGAGAGACTATCAGAATTGTAAAACAGGAAAAATGACTTACCTCTTTAGTGATCCCATCTGTCAAAAAAGTCAAAGGTCCCCCAAAGTCAATCAGCTACTGTGGTCAGGACATACCAGTTTCTGTAGCCAATGGCACACAAGCAAGGGATAGGGGAATTGCTGGCATCACACCCAGCCACCCTTGACTCCCCAAGACCATTTACAGCTAGATTGACAGGGTTGGCAGAAGTCCAAGCTAGACACCATAAGTGCACTGCCTCCACATCTCACAGCCCTATCTTCAAGTCCCTATAATTAAGCTATTGTTAAGGATTTAATCTAGAAAAATGTCATGGAGAGTATGTCACTATCCCTGACCTTCCAGACAAAGTGCAGAAAGCTACAGAAGCAGCTCTATTGCTTTAATGGTAGAAACAAACAGAAAGTGGGAGGTAGAACACTGAAGCTTGAGCATTTTTGATTACTCATTTTGAAATACAATAAGAAACAAAAAATAAAGATGCTATTTTAAAAAGAGTGTAACAGTAGCCAACCTCTGTTCCTACTAAAGACAAGAAACAAGAGGAAGACATCCTCTGTGTGTGTGTGTTCCTTACCTATTCAGCTCTCTCTATAAGATTCATTATTGTCTGCAAGGCTCATAAATACGATATCAACAATTAGGAAAGAAAAATAAAAAACAGATTAACATTTAAAACAAATACTTTATTTATTTAGATATCAACAATAGAAGACACCCATTTAAAAAAGCCTCGTTCATTAAAATGACAACAACATAATGATGATCAACTATTTTAAATATTTGGATACAAGTATCTCATTAAGTCAGCCAGTCAGAAACATCAACTCATCACATATTGGTAACAAATTAACTCAGCCATCTAGACCTAGATAAACTAAATTATTATGATCCTCTGGATTTTTTAGCAAGTTGTGTGTTATGTGTCCTATGGAAAGAGCAGTTTCATTTTCTTCTTGTGTAATACACAGTTGATGATCAATCAATAATATATAAAAGAATAAAAGCTGAAATATACACCATTTGTGAAAATAAACAGTGAAAGCCAAGTGTGAGAGATTCAGCCTGTAGCCACACAATAACAGGACCAAACTTCATGGACAGATTAGAATCTAAGAGAAAGGAAGTTAAAAAGTTAAAGGACAACTAATACAAATTAACAAGTCAGAAGAATAATGAGCTTACAATCATCTTGGCAGTGGTAATGGAATGTGGACTGTTGTTCAACCCAATGCTAATAGATTTTGAAACTAATGACTAAGATTTTGGGAGCATCCAAGGTTAAAAAAAAGGAAGAAGGAAAAAGGGTACATTTGACCAATGAGAAATGTAGCACTGGGTAACTACAGCACTGGTTATAAACTATAGAAATACATTTATTTCTTTGTTCCACTGTACAAATGGCTAAGGCCTACAAATGGAGGGGATTGGGAATTATTCTGTTTCCTAGGCCTGTGCAAAGCTGCTAGTATGTCCCAAATCAATTTGTCCAAATCTGATTCAGAGATTCATCTGCTGCTGAATTAGCCAAATCTCCAAATGAAACAGGCCCCATCCCCCACCCACTCTCCCAGCCCCATGAATGGCTGCCCCACCCAGCCTCAGTGTCCCAACTCTTTAAAAAAAAGCCCTGCATTCACCAACTGCTGCCAGGTGAGGGGGCAATCCCCTCTACACCCTACTGCCCCATGCTGCATGGGGGGCTCTGCCATGAACCCATATCCCCAACACACTCTCCTAGCCCCGTCAATGGCTGCTCCACCCAGCCCCAGCATCCTGGCACTTTTTTTTTTCTTAAAGCCCCACACTCATCAGCGGCTGCCAGGCAAGGGAGCAATCCCCACTGCCCCATACTGCACAGGGGTGCTCTGCCACGAGCCCCCAGAAGCCCTGATAGCCGCTGCAGCAGCCAGTGAGTGCAGGGCTCCTTTTTTTTGGCAGGAGCCAGTGAGTGTGGTTGGTTTTTTTTTAAGAGCCAGGACACTGGGGCTGGGCCGGGCAGCCATTGACAGGGCTGGGGGAGCAGGCAGGGGATGGGGTCTGGTGGAGGTACCCCCATGGTCTCCTCTCCTGTCCTCTAGCCCCCCCCTTCTTACTGCCATGGAGTCCAAGTCCACCTCCCTGTGGCTGCAAGGGGGAACTGCCCGAATCTCCGAAGCTCTCTGAATCTTTTCCAAATTGATTCAGAGTGCTTTGAATTGATTCGGACCTTTTCACTGATCTCCCAATTCGATTCAGAGATTTAGCCGCTGAATCCGGCCAAATCTCCTCTGAATTGAATTAGCACCCAAAGCTTTACACAGCCCTACTGTTTCCTAAGTCTTGGACAAAAAAAAAGTTTTTAAATTTGAACATCTATTTGTACTTTGCTTGTTATGATCGTATCTTTAGCTAGGCTGCATTGGGCTTTGTATTCCTCTAATCTTTTTACTCTGTGAGCAACATAGATACGCAAAATAAAAGCTTCAGCTTCTAGACAGCTTCACAGAATAAGTATAACTGCTTCTTTCTCTGTTCACAGTACAATTAGATGCATCATTATGATGACTAGTACTCATTTAGACATGAGTTTCCTGGCCAGGAAAATTTTTCAGGTGGCAAAATGTTTTCCTGGCCAAAATTGAGATGCAAAACCAGAATCTTAAATTATTTTCAGACTAAAAATCTAAAAAATAAAATTATAATTTAGGATAAAAAATTATATTTTTATTAAGAAAATTGCAATGCTTTGCTTGTATTTTCTTTTAAGTATCTACATACAAAATATGAACTCTCAGTGGCAGTCGAGTCCAGGCCTGCGTTCTAACTCACTGCTGCCTGCAGCTTAGACTGCAAGCAAAGAATGTCAGGCAACAACAATCCTACAACTTCTCACTCTTAACCCCACACCTTTCTGTACTTCCCATAATTACAGTTAAACAAATTAGGAGACCCAAGTAGGGGCAGACTGTTTCCTAGAAGGGTTGTGCTTGAACAAAAGGAAGTATAATCTCGCAGCTGTTGCACATAAGTTATGGATTGAGAGGGTGGCTCATCTAGCACAGTCTGTTTGGAGCTATCTTTGGGGTGAACCCTACATATCTACAACCAGAATGCATGATTCTGATCTCTCATTATGTTTTCTTCATTTTATAAGGAAACATAAAAGCAGCTGGATATGGGGGGTTTTGTATGTCTGTTCCTTGCACTTTCATTTCCCCCTTTTGTCTGCTTCTCTTTTACCCTGGTTTTTATTTCACATGGCTTCTTCCTTCATCTCTCTCTCTCAGTCATGTTTATAACTCTCATGCTTTTTGCCCAGTAGATTAAGAGGAAAGTGAGATATGCAGATTTGCCATTCCAGATCTCATCAATAGTCCATTACCCCCTTCTCTGACAGTGCCTATATCTGGTTCTATACAGAAAGATAGAAACCCACAAATGCATGTGACCAATTATGCAATGCTGTATGCAGGGGAAATAATCCTTAATGATTTATTAGGAAATTAGTCATTTACATTTTAAAAGCAGTATAGAAAAGGAACACATAAGCAATGTCCGTGTCTGTCTTACCCGTTATATCTGATTTCTGTTCAACCCCCACCAGTGTTTTCCTGAGAGATGAAGCAATGCTGGAAGGATCATGTGGCTCAGAGTTGGGCAGTGCATGTGACAAGGCAAAAAATGTACCCTTTCACCTCCAGCTCCTTTCCAGTATTGTTGAACACCAGCAGTCACCCTACCAGGGTTTCACACCAAACAAATGAAAAGCTGTATTTTGCTGACCTGTTTCACTAAGAGCAGAGCTACAAATGGACCTTTTGGTCAGAAAGATGAGCAGGTCTTACGACCCACTTCACATCAAATCCTCCCTTCCATCTGCCTGTTTGCTTTCTTTTATTCATAAATTATCTCAAGAGGCCAATAGGCACCCCCCCCCCCAAACGAAGAGACTATCTGATTCAGCTGCAACTGCATGTGACCTGCCCACTCCTTCCTTACTACACATTTGAAATAAATGGTTTAATGATATTCACAATCAGGAATCAGGCTATTGCAGTGTACAAAATGCAAATGCAAGTGACAGTAGGTTCTCTTGACTTTCTTGTTACAAAACTACTGTAGAAGTGTACCTGTTTTCTTCCAGAACAGTATAACTAAGTAAAGACAATCAAAAAGCCTCAGACTAAATAGATTATATTGTAGCAGACTGGGCTACACTGCATAGATTGAACCAATATGCAAGTGGATGGACATTTACTTTTCAATCTGGAAATACAGCCACATGCCTGCAGTGGCCAAGGACAGAAAAGAGTGGGTGCTAAAGTATGCCTCCCTGTTGGGCTGGAACAGAGAGCTTAGGCCAAGGCTAGCCCACCTACCTTGAGAGGGGAAGTTTGCAGGGGACGATCAAAGCATCCTGGCATGCTGGGTGACTGTGAGTTAACTTGAATCCTGGGGGAATATGAGACAGAAGTTCAATAAACTAATCTAACCTAAATCATAGGTTTATAGAAAATTAAGGTTGGAAGGGACCTCAGGAGGTCATCTAGTCCAGCCCCCTGCTCAAAGAAGGACCGTCCCCAACTAGATCATCCTGTAATACAACCCCCAGTTTTTTTCTTTTTTTTTTTTGTATTTATTTTAAAATGCATTCCCTCCCCTTCCCCAACCATTTCTGACTTTTTCTCTCCTTCTCTATTCCCTATAGATAAGTATAAGTGAGATCAAACTTAGGATAAGCTTTAAACATTTCTATCTTGGTAGCAAGTTTTTGATTTTGGATATCCACTGTTTTATATTGGATAATTATTAGGTTTGTATTGATTTTTACTGTTGTATATTGTATTATTATAATTTTCGTATTGATTTTTATTGTTTCATATGGATATTGTATGGTTTAGGCCTGTGTTTGTAAGTGAACGATAGTGAATGATATATATAAATATATATATCATTGATATATATATATATATCACTGTGTGCATGATATATGAATTAGTGATCTGTGTCTAACTTTTGGGGTGTATAGTGTATGTGCTTGAATTGGTAATAGGTATGCATTTTCCTAGGCTGGTTGGATGTGTATGTGCCTGAGCTGGTAGTGTGCGTGTGTATGCACCTAATTGATTTGTGTGTTTGTATATGTGCAATTGTGTTACGCCCTCCTGTCTACAGCACAATATTGAGATCCTGAGAGTTGGCCTGATCCCCCAGGGCAACAATCCCACCTGAGGCTTTGTCTAGCTAGGACTTGGAAACCTCCAAGGATGGAGCTTTCACCACCTCTCTGGGTAACCTGTTCCAGTGCTTTACTACCCTCCTAGTGAGAAAGTTATTTCTAACATCTAACCTAAACTTCCCTTTCTGCAACTTGAGACTTGATCCTTGTTCTGTCATCTGCCACTGTAGAACCCCAGACTTGCATCCTTAATGGACTGCCTCATATAGGTATGACTAGAGGGCTGGAGGATTCCAGAAGACTTGAACTTTTGCCCTTTATGATACATAGATTCACAAATTCATAGATGTTAGGGGCTAGAAGGAACCTCACAAGATCATCAGGTCCAGCCACTCTGCACTTGGGCAGGAAAGACTGCTGGGGTCAGATGACCCCAGCAAGGTGGGCATCAAGATGTTTTTTGAAGATTGCCAGGGTGGGTAAGTATACCACCTCTGAGGGGAGTCTTTTCCAGCCCCTTGGCACTCAAATTGTAAAGAAGTTTTTCCTTGTGTCCAATCTGAAGTGATCTTCAATCAGTTTGTTCCCATTGTTTCTTGTTTCCCCTGGGGTGCCTTGGTGAACAGATGTTCCCCCAGCTCTGATGTACACCCTTAATATACTTATAGGTTGCCACCCAAGTGCCCTTTAAGTCATCTCTTTTCCAGGCTGAACACTCCCATATCTTTCAACCTCTCCTCATATGACCTGCTCTCCGGACCTGTAAACATGCGTGTGCCCCTCTGCATTCTCTCAAGCTTCTCAACATCCTTCCTGAAATGTTGTGTCTTGAACTGGATGCAGTACTCCAGCTGTGGTCTCACCAAGGCCAAGCAGGCAGGAAGATAACATCCTTAGTCTTGCTGGAGATGGACTGGTAGATGCACTCACTGTGCCAGCTATCGCATTGGTTTGGTGGCTCATGTTCATTCTGTGGTCTATCACAACACCCAGGTCTCTTTCAGTTGTGGTGCTGGCAAGCGTGGCACTGCAGAGTCTGTAAATGTGTTGTGGATTATCCGTCCCCAGATGGAGCATTTTACATTTCTCCACGTTAAACGCCATGAGTTTATGATCCATCCACCTCACAAGTCTGTCCAGGTTATAGCCTCATTATGCATGTCGTGACCCTGTTAAATCTTATTAAGAGGCCTGGAGCATGCGCAGTTCTGGTAACCTCTGAGTGGGAAACTCAGTGAAATTGATTGTCAGCTGCAAAAGAGAGACATGTGGAAAGATAAATGAGTGCTGTGTGCATAAGGTTTTGATTGGCTTACAACATGATTGACAGAAGAAGTGGTGACTGACAAGCAGACCACATAAATGGGGGTGATGTGCTGTACTGCATCTGCCCAGGGAATCTTGCAGTGTGTGTCATTGTCTCTTGCTTGTACCTGTTCTGTGGTGTACGTGCATTATTTAATTTCAATGTGAGTGCTTTCTGCAGTGTGAGTGTCTCCTGTGAGTTTATTATAGTTTGTGTGTGATGTGAGAGTGTCTGGAAGCTCTGGAGTGCTTCGTCTGCAACATCGAGGTCCAGAATCTCCACTTTCCGTGAACCAGTGGGGAAGGGGAACGTATAACCCTCCCTAGGTCTCACACTATACAGAACAGGCATGAGACCTACTTGCCCTTGGTGAATCTATGTTGACTGATCCTAATCACCTTCTCCTCTTCTAAATGCTTAGAGATGAGTCTTTGAGGACCTATTCCTTTACTGTTCCAGGGAGTGAGGTGAGACTAACTGGTCTGTAGTTCCCTGGATCCTCCTTCTTCCCTTTCTTAAAGATGGGCACTATATTTACCCTTTGCCAATCACCCACAACTTCTTCTTTTCTTTTGCAAAGATAATGACCAGTGGCTCTGCAATCATATTGGCCATCTCCCTCAACGCCCATGGGTGTGTCCGGTTTGGCCCATGGACTTGTACATGTCCAGTTTTTCTTCTGCCACTGTTGGCTGCTCATCTTCTCCCCAAACTGTACTGCCAGGTGCAGCAGTCTGGAAGCTGACCTGGCCAGTGAAGACTGAAATGAAAAAGGCATCAAATACTTCAGCCTTTTCCACCTCATCTGTCACTAGGTTGTCTCCTCCATTTAGCAAGGAATCTGCACTTTCCCAGACTTAAATCAGTTAAGTCTGATACTACACCAATCCAGGTTTATCTTGAACTGGTTTTGGCCATTTTGGATGTGGTTTATGTACACTGAATTTCTGTTGTGTTACAGATTTGAACTGGTTTCTGATCACTTATACTGTTAATGTATACTCTCTGTCCCTAGTCTAAAAGATAGAATTGCTGGTAGCGAATTCATTAACACCATCTAGCACAGTGGGGTGCAGCCTTTTTAGTAGGAGTGTCACAAATTAGCCCTGCACTTTCCCCAAGTGCTGCTGTGATCCCCTTTCCAAGCTCGGTCTGCTGCTCTGCTTTCTGTTCCCTGCCCCATGTTTCCTGCTTGATCTGCTGTTCTGCTTTCTGCTTCATCTGCCACTGTGCTCCCTGTCCCTTTGCATATCTGCTATGTGTCACAAATGTGCCAACTGTGGCACTCATGCTGAAAGTTGGCCATCCCTCATCTAGCACATGTACGCTAGTTGAAGATTCTATAGAAATCATTCATCAGACTTCAAAAGCAGCATTAAATGCTACTTTGAAAAGACTGAACTTCTCTAATTTTATCCCTTAACCCAGGGGTGAGCAATCATTTCAGGTGGAGGGCCACTTAATGAATTTTGGTGAGCTGTCAAGGGCTGCAAGGGTAGCCCTGCCCCTTTACAGGTGTCCCAACCCCAGTCACCATCTTGGGATCAGGATTCCTGCCCCTAACCCCTGACCTTTGCCAATGGAAGTCCCACCCCCTGCCCCTGGAAGTACTTCTTTTGGGAGGGGGGGTTTCCCGTCTTGGAGCCAGAAAAAAACCCTGGGTCTGTGGGTGTGAGGAGTGCTTGTGGGGATGTGTGGGGATGTGGGTGGGTGAGTATGGTGTTTGTGAGGGGAAGCAAGTGTGTGTGGGAAGTTGTGGGATGTGTAGGGGGGATGGTGTATGGGAGTGTGGCTGAGGGGTGTGTGTGGAGAGGTGTGGGTGTGGGGTGTGCATGAGGAGGTGTGAGTGCATGTGTATAGTGGGGAGTGCATGTGGGCCTCCCCACAAACACGCTCCCCTCACACATGCCCCCCCACTGTGCACAGACCCTGTCACCAGTGGCAGCAGCAGGTGGCAAGCCCTTGGGGCACTCACAGCCCACAGCAGGTGGTACCCCCTGGTGGTATACAGTCCCAGTGAGCCTCAGGACTGCACATGGCTGAGCCACTGGCTCCATTGTGCAGGGCTCACGTGCAGTTCCTGGCTTCTCTGCCTGAGCCCTGTACTGCTGGATCTGTTCTATGCAGATGAAGCTGGCAGTGCAGGTCATAGGGCTCAAATGGGGTGGCAGGGTAAGGAGCTTCCTGGGGGCAGCGTGGAGATTTCTGTCATTCCTGCATGTGGCAGTGAGTGGAACCAGGTTGCTGGCTCCATCACATGGGGCTCCCCCTGGAAGCACATGGTGCAGGCAGAGAACCCATGAACTGCATGTGAGCCCCGGGAAGCCCCATGCAATGAAATCAGGTGGACCCCACATCCACTCCAGCCCAGGCCATGCTCCTGCTGCCCCACTCTGGGAACCAGTCAGACCCAGCCCTGGGACACCGGTGCAGGTTCTGTGCTCCTGCCCAGCTGCCAATTCACTCCCACCCGCTCTCTGCCACTTCCCTTTTGCCCACTTGCTGCCACTACCCTCCTGCCCACTTCTCACTGCCACTTCCCGCCCACTCACCGGCACTGCCTCCCTGCCTGCCTACCACCGCTTCATGCCCCCCCACTGCTGCTACTGCTACTTCCCCCCCACCTGCCACCATCCTTCCCCTGCCTGCCCACTGCTGCTGCTGCTGCCCTACCTTTGGGGCCAAGATCAGAACCATCCTGTGGGCAAAAGTGGGAGCACAACCTGCACTGCCCCCATGGGAGACAGCAGGGCTCAGTCCTACACAAGCACAGCAGGGGCAGCACAGGACCAGACCAGATACAGTAAATTAGTAGGCACCCACCTGCAGGCTGAATGAAATCACCTGTCGTGATGGATTTGGCCCATAGGCCAGATTTTCCCCACCCCTGCCTTAACCAAAGAGAATTGGTGGTGAACACTGTCAATAACCATAGTAGCAAATGTATGTTAAGAAGCATATCACTATAATATAATTAAGTGAGCTATGTTTCTTGTCAGTATATGGAGAGGGCAGGTTGGGCAGTTCCTAGAAGTATCAGCAAGAGGCCTCGGATGCTGCACAGGTTCTACCTATCTGAACAGGGGTTTTCTCATAATTTAGTGCCATTCTAAGCTTGTAGCTCCAAAGGAATATTATGGGGTAAGGGAAAGGGTCCTAGACAAGTCTTGTTCTGAAGTGATAATGAAAGGCAATGAAGTAAACCCAGATTTATACAAATGCACCTGAGACCAGAATCTGAGACCAGATCACCGTATGTAACATGGTGAGTATACATGACATCACTGGAAAGGAGAGATTGGTGTTTTTATGTGATTCCATTTTGTGTATTGTTTTCTTTTATGTAGCTCCTGGGTACCACCTCCAAAGCTGGCAAGGAAAAGAAAATTAAAAATAAAAACCAGGATTATGCAATTGATCAACAAACTATTGACAAATCCAATAAACATCTTGAAACCTGTTTAATTAACAACATGTGATCAGCTCATGTGCGAGAGAGATTAAGAAATTACCATTTTTCCTATGATTATCGCATGCTTGCACTTTGAACTTTAATCACACGATCCTCATGCTGCAGTCCATTTTCCAGCTGCCTGGGTGCAGTCAACAGTATTTTGGAGACTGTCAGGAAACATTAGACAGTATTAAATTTAAGTTCAGTAGTATTAAGTTTAATTTCTTTCTTGCAGCAATGAAGCTCATTTTGTTTGGTTTTTATAATTAAATGTTAGGTATCATGTGACTGAGGGACAACCCAAAGGGTAAAGTTTCTGTTTAAATATTTCACGTGCCTTGTTTGCAGCATATGCAGAGTTATCTGGGTGCCCTGAAATTGTTGCTGTTTGTAAATGGAGGGATCCTTAGCCATGCCAGTTTATGGTGGCTGTGAGGAAAGGGCAGAGTGCCAAATAATTTCAAATCAGATCACCATCATGAGCTCTGCCATTGCAGAGAAAAAAAAAATTAATCTTGCCTGCAGGTGGGCAAAATTCAATGCTGCCAAGAAAAATGCAAGCAAAACTGCTTTTACCTCTAAGAAAAGTGTCTCCAGCTGCCGCATTATGGTATAAAACAAGTTCCACATGTCAGACTAGGAGTGCAGAGTAGCGCTGAAAAAAAGAAATGGCAGGCACCATCTGTATTGTTATAAATTCAGCAGTTGCCTGGAGAGTTGCTGCCATTGAAAGCAGCAAGATTACTCCTCTGCTTTTAAAAAGTAAACTTGACAAGACTGAAAGGAGTTTGAAGGGGCTGTCATTATGAAAGTTTACATTCCAGAGCATCTCCCAGGAACATGAATACAGATCCAAAATATTGAGGAGCTCACCGCCATATAAGGGATGGCCAAAAATTCACAGTAAATAAAAGGCAGCCCTTGAATGGGAAAGGGCTGGAGCTAGAGCAGTTGTCCTGCTACTGATTTGTATGCATCTTTTTAACTAGTTTCAAGCACTGATTGGCTTTCATTATAAAGAAATCAGAGTAGATTTAGAGGTGAGTAGGGGGATCAAATTTATATTGTGCAACCCTGCATGCAGCACTGAAATCTGCACTATGAAATCAAGATGACCTTGGCCCACAGCTTTGTTGTCAGCATGTTTAAACAGAACTTTCAAGGCTAGAGCCACCTGTCCATATTTTTGCTCCTATGGCTGACAGAGTTGCAAGGCTAAATTTATCCATCAAGCAGGAAAACTGCATCAAGCCTATGCAGAAGTATTTTGCATTTATAAATACATGTTGGTGTGGGAGGAGGGAACAGGGGAAGAAAGGTCATTGAATGCATTTTGATATATCCTGGAACTTTCACATGCCTCTATTTCATTTTTAAGTGTCTCTGCATCATTTAAGTACAGCTTACCATGAAAGTTAAAGAACTTCTGCAGAGTGGCATGGGGGTGAATATGCAAAGCAGAGTATTAGCATAATACTGGTGCATTGCTCATTGTTCGCATGCCAATTCCAGTTTTGAGCATAGAGGGTATGTAAAGGGCAGGTAAACAGTTAATGAATACAGTTATTTGAATCGAGTGGCTAGATCTGTGCTGAACTTTTAAATCTTTTATAGCTGTGATATTTCAGAGTCCTAAAAATGAATCAGAACATCTGACAGGCATGCCATGAAGTTCCATATACAAGCAGTTCCAAGATTTAGCACTGAGCATTTACCTTCTGATGTGCTGACAAAGGGAAAATGGTTTACGTGGAGGTCTATGGGCTATTTTGCACCTAAAAGAAACTAGTAAAATTTAGCTTTTCACTGTTTCTTTTCTCACCTAGAGAAAAGCATTTAAATACATGGTGAAATTTCCTGGTTTCACCACAAGCAAAAATGTTATTTAGTCAGTAAAATAATGTTGTCTCAAAAGCTTAATATGTACATTGCCAACAACGTGGGGTTCAAGGTCAACGTTGAAATACATCTTGTGATGTGCCATGATCTCAATCTAAGCGTTATAATGATTCCCCATATTTATTTTGCCCAATTAATTTCAAAGCTCCTTGCAAGTTAGACAAGCTGGGTTCACTCAGTCACAGCTGAAACATAGCTATAACTGCAGCAAAATCTTATTTTGGCAGTTATTTACCATCACACATTAAAGCTGGTCAGAAAAAAAACCATGTTTTTCTGGTCAAAAAGGTTTGACTTTGTAAGGGTTTTAAAAACATGCACACACGTGCATCTATGTTATGTATACACATCCATATTTACTTAAAACTTTATTCATTTCAGTTTTGGTAACCAACATTGTAAAAAATTTCCTCTCCCACCTTTGGTCTTTCTATTCATTTTCTAAGCCCTTTAGGGCGCAGAAATATATAAGTGTCTCATATAATGGGGTGTTTCCCATGCTTTTTTAGCAGCATACAGCTGTAGGGGTCTACTCTCACATACTTAGGCTGATATACAAAGTAAAACCAGCTGAGGAACTCCCATTTCATGACTTTGCTTTCAGATTAAAAACAAAACAAAACACACAATTGCAGGCTCTTGTCAATCTAAAGCTTAACCCCACTAGCCTTTAGTCATGTGAACTTTCCTCACCCCAGGTGAGTAGACACAGGCTTCCTCACTGGGGGTGCATTTACATATACATAGTAATGTGCTTGAATAAGCTCTGGAGCATCTTCTCATGCACCCAAGAGCACAACATGTTAAACTGGTTGGAGCAGTCCTAGCTGGCAGGGGGCCCAGAGGGTCAACCTGACAGCCAGGGGCTGCTCCCTCCAGCTCAACCTGCTGCAGATGTGCTGGCTGGGATACAAAGATAACACTGAAGCACCCTGTGCCCCAGCCAGCTGAAGCAGCATCTGCACGTGTGCTGCTGTGGAGTACAAAACTCCGCAGCAGGATAGTACTTCTATTACTTCAGTGCAGGGCTAGCTGGCAGACAGCCCACACACTGAAGCACCCTTCTGCCCCAGCCTCGGGCAGTGTCTACATGTGCATTGCTGCAGTGTTTTTTAGTAAATACAAGTATTATCCTGCTGCGGAGTTAATTAGTTTACTCTAAGCTTATAGGAGCACAGATGTAGACATGAGACATTTACTGTCTAGCTAATTAGTCTACTGCGAAGTAAACATCTTGTGTAGACATGCCCTGGATTGTCTACATTAGTACATATATTGCAGCAACAGCTTGCAATTATAAGTAATACTATGACTAGACAGAAAACAAACATTGTTACTATTGTATTATAATGTACTTTTCTGACATGGTGACAACAATTCTGGACTTCTTCCTATGTATCTTGTTATTTTGAAACCACTGGTGACTTTTGCTACAATAAAAGGACTTAATTTTCTGGAGTAGGAAAAAGCCATTTAGATTGTGAGTCTGACATATCTGTTTAAATCCACAATATTAATAAAAAATGAGAAATGCACAACAAAAATATGACACAGTGAAAAATAAATACTTCTGCCCCTTTCCTTGATTTGAGTTAATGTACACAGAGAAGCAATTAAAAAGGGCTTAACTTAAATTGGTTTTCCAAGTGAATGATGGTTGGATAGCATTGGTTGGATATATAATGTTTATCCCTTGGGTTAATGATCACTCTCTTCCAATTCTCCTTAATCCCATTACAAAGTTAATAAATATTTCTTTTGTCCCAACACTCTGCTCCAGCATTGTTTTTTACAAAAAAAAGAGTAAAATTTAGAACACTAGCTTGAGGATGCTGCAGTCTCTGGAAAATTTTACTGTCATTTCTAACCGTTGCATTAAGACTACTAATAAAGCCTCATCTCAGCCCAACGTTCTTCATTTGCTTGAGCTTTGGTAGCTCAGTCCTAAATATTGTTAAAATATATGTGCATATACCAGGCAAAGTCCCATCATGGATTACACAGGGCACCCAACACAAAGTGGCACTGATCCCAATCCTTTCCTTTGTATGCTACCATAATATAAGTGTTCATTACATGGGGAGTAGCAGGAACTCCTAAATTTTGGTTGCCAGCACTTTTAAAAGATCCTCGTAGTCTTTTCCAGAAGATCTTTAAACATGTCCATTGTTTGCCGCGTTTGAAATATAGCAGGGAGACAGTCCTAGAGTCAGAAAAGTATCCTTTGCTGCCTCCTAACATATAATTTAGCATTACAATTTGTCAGATTCAGCAAAGAAATCCTTATTTGAAAGATATATCCTATGGTACACAAATTATATAAGTTATTAGTTATGCCCCTATTTTTAGCCTTCATAAAAGATCCAGTGCAGGACTTAGTTGATCGCTAGATCAGCTGGATAGGTCAGAAAAAAGGATTCCTCTAGAGGTTTTTCTTTCTATACCTTCAGAAAAAAGGAATCCTGGTGTCTTTCTTTAGTTTCAATAGTGTTCGTGCAATACAGAACATCCCTATCCTCTAATGGAACATTTAACCTTTAGTATATTTTTCTAATTCCCCATGGTAAAATACCATCAGAGCACAATCAATTTTTGTTGCAATGGTCAACAATCAACAGAAGCTTTTTTTTTGTTGCTGTTCCTTGAAGTGTGCTTATCAGCTGATACCAAAGTGGGAAGCACAACAAATAACACAGAACAATACAATCAGATACAAAATCTTTTTGATCACTGCTATCCTGGCCAGCTCTTTAGTAAAACTTCAGGTCACAACAACAAATTATATTTTTACATTAATTGGCCTCAAAGGAAAAAAAAAAGATTTAGCTATAAAAATAATACTAGTTATGTATAATTAACCCTATTGAACCAATTCACAGTTAAGATTAAAAAGCTTAAGCTGACATTCTCTTCGTCTATGCTGGCCAAAGTAAAGGCAAAACTACAAGAGCCAGGATTTTCTACTTCACTTCTTCACTTTCCAGTTTCCATGTAGGATAAAACAGACTGTTAACATTACATTAGCATAGACCCTCATGCTTCAAAAGTATCAACACAAGCAGACCCTTATTCCCAATCAATAGGGTTTCACACAGGAGTGGCATCTTCCAATTGGGCTACTTTCCAGAACAGGGGCCTTCATTTGTAGGAACTGAATTTGCCTTTCAATAGCAGTGCAAGAAAGCTTCACCTGAATGTGGTTCTTGGTGCAAAGTCAAGTGAAGAGAGTCCAAAAAGCCCCTATGGAATAGAACAAT